TATATATATATATATATATATATATATATACTTATATTTAATTTTTAATCAAGTAATTGCCAGCATGACGGACCGGTTTAACGCATAAGATTTTGAGAATTAAATTCGCGCTTTATATGTATACATACAACTCCTGGCACAAGATCTTTGGCAATTTGCCATTCATTTACCGCCATTAATCATAGTATACGTATAACACGTACTTGCTGCTTTTTTCTGTTGGTTTACTTGACACGTTGAATTTTTTCTTTGAAAAACGCAAGTATAAATTTTTAGCTTATCCATGAACTACTTTTTCTTATATCTGCACTCTAAGTGGCTTATATTTTAGTATATGCTATACGACTTGTATGGCCACTGATGCATAAACAGTTTCTTGTTACATGTAATTGTCTCTTAAACGAGAGTTGGAAATATCATATTCTTATGTCGTCCATTTTTGATGGCTCAGTTAATGCCGGACATGGTTTCATGTCTTTTTTTTTTTCAATGATACGTCTTGCTGTTTATTTATGGATTCTTACAGCTGTATAAAGCTACTTTTTTTAATGGATGGAATGCTGAAACAGTACATTGAGGAATGCGCCAAACTGCCAGTGGATTTGAAGAAAAATTTTGACCTGATTCGCGAAATTGACATTGTTGTCGAACAAAAAGCTGATTTAATCCAGCAGAAGTTGATTACACTAACTAAATCCCATCGTGGTTTGTCGAAGGATGCGCAATGTGCAATCAACAAAGAAATTAACGTTAGTTTTGTTTTCCGCCCGCTATACTTTTTTCACTTGAGAAACTCCAAGTTACATCTTTACCACTTTGTAAATGTCTAGTTGATTTCAGGAAATATTTGATAAAATACTTTCACTTAGCGAGAAAAAGTTGAAATTAGCCACTCTAACTTATAACGTCGTAGATAATCAAATAGTTCGTTTGGACAGAGACTCGGAAAAAGTCCAGGCTTCCGTAAAAAGAAGACATGAGCCCGGTAACTTTTTGAATTTCTTGACAGGTTATCTCTCAGTGAATAACTTTTGGGCATTTTTTAGAGGAAGAACGTCATAAAAAGAAACGGAAGCATTTGTCACGTAAAAGCGGCAAAAATCAAACAGATGTGGAACTTGAACCGTCAAGTAATTTTTTTTTATTACCCAGTTTGAAAGCATTCCCATTAACCTTCCCCAAGTACTTATAGGAATTTGGTGTAACTAATTGTTTTTCAGCATCTAGCACTTATGATCAAGTCGGAACTGCCCCGGTAATTGATTTGCCGATTGACCCAAATGAACCTGTTTACTGTGTCTGTCGACAGGTAATTATAGCCTTTTACTTTTAATGGAGGATATGTAAAAGAAGTTGAGAAGGAATCAGTAAAGCTTCTTGCAGTTCACTTTGTTCCACAAGTTTTGCATTTTTAATGGACCTGAAATGTTATAAGACTGGAACTGCACAAAGTCTAAATTTCAGGTCTCGTTTGGAAATATGGTTATGTGTGACAATAAGGATTGCCCTATCGAGTGGTTTCATTTTGGTTGTGTTGGTCTTAAAGAAACTCCAAAAGGGAAATGGTATTGCTCTAGGTGTTTTTCAGAAAAGTGTAAGAAGAAAAGCACTACCCACGCGTGAAGTCCAATCGCCACACTTCCCATTTCTTTTTATAGCTTGTTGCAACTTCGATCTCCTACCAGCAAATTTCAGTCTCACTTTTCCTCTATCTTTGAGTTCCTTATAGCTGTTTCATGCATGCCTCAGACGCTTGGCTGTTCGATATGAGACCAACATACTTTTGTAACTGACCTTCTGTTTCATTTTTTTCATGGGCATGCCTAGTAGACAGACTTGTTTATGTTTTGCCTTATGAAGGTTTTGAACCAAAGTTTGTTCCTCCTTAATTATTTACCTTGCTGCAAAGGTTAGTTTTATTTAGGTCTTTCATAGGTTAGTAAGAAACAAATTGTGAAGACGATGAAAATTCCTCGGCTTCAGTTCCGAAGTATGAGGAATTAATATTTGCGTACAGAGTAGCACATAGACCACAAATAAATCTATATATCACAAATTGTGATGCCATTTGTTGACTCTTATCCTCTCGTTCTTTAAATGTACCGTTTTTGACGGTGTGTGATTGGATTTGCGGAGCACAAGCGCTCTACCCTGTACACCTATACCCGTTGTCAGATACGGCTTTCTCTGTGTAACAAGCTTCTCAACATGTGTCCTGAATAACCTGTCAACCAAGCTTTGATTGTCATTGAAGAAAATAAGTTTTGTTTTTTTATCCAGCAGGAGATATGCTCAACGAAAACGGCTTTTTAAATAAGATGCCTTTGTGATTGTTCAAAAGATATACTTCAGTAAAAGTGAAATTGACGTCAAGTAACAGTCTTGAAGGAAATCCCACATGAAGGCACTAGTGTAAAGGGTTGATATACAACGCGCCTGCAGCATAAGATACTGACGAGTCATTCACACTCTGGCACTGAAATTACAATATTAAAAGCGTGGGGAGGCTACGAAGGAAGTATATGCATCAAAGATATGAAGGCTCAATGAAACTGGAAGCTGAGAGTGGTAACTATTAGATACTTAAGCTCAGTAGTTTCTTTTGTGTAACTGGTGGGGATGTAGAAAAGATTAGGAACTAAAAAACTTATTACAGTTTTACAAATTCTTTAGAAATAATGACCTGAACAGTTTACATCTCTGCTAGTTATTATCTTCTAAAACTGGTACGAGCACATGACTAGCTTTGCTCCGCGAGTGATTCTCGAGAAAGTAACAACACTTAACCTTATTATTTAGCGGCAACCCATTCTGTTTTTGTAAATCTTCGTATGTCAATTGCGGAACCCGCGAAATTGTAACTTAAGACAATAAGAAGAGAGCAACCATTATAATACGGCACACCTTGCTCAGCAAATAAGTCAAGAAACTAATAATATGACTTTGAATTCGCGGGGCCCAAGCAACTACTCACTTGAATGAGTCTATGAAAAATAATTTCTATTGTATAATCTACACAATACTTGACGACAATCGCCATGTAAGAACAGTTGCACTAGGTTGGGGTTACAGTGGTGAACGCAATGTCAAACAAACGTTCCAAATAAATATATTAAACACTTATTTAAGTTGATTGTCAAGCGAAGCTCAGTTTCCAACTACGAAAAGAGGGGACTCGGAGAAGCCGTAGCAAATTTAAGATAGAGCTAAACTTCAAAACAAAATTGCAGCTCTGCCCAACGACTGCTTCTGGATATCTGATTCGTTTTCGTTGGTGCTCTGATCTGTTCAACATCAAACCTCCTCTAATTGAAAATGATTTGGTTACACATTTAAAAAATTAAGTAAGACTTAACTAAAATAAATAATTAAATCGAAGAAGCAAATTTTCAGACTTCTAAAAAAAATATTTTTTGAGCATAATGCCTAGCCCATAATTTACCGAATATGCGAAGTGGTATTCTACAGAATCCACAAGACGAGACAAACAAGACAAAAAATTTGTTACCTAACTTGTATTTTGACAAATTCTGATGTTTCGGAAATATAATCTACGCTTTTAGTAAATAAGGATTTCAAAACCTGGAACCTTAAACCCGATAAATAAATTGCAAAAATAAGAACTATGCAGTCATCTTTCATCTTCCGTTCCGCTCTGTAAAACAAGGCCCTGCGAATAAAGGCCAAAAACTAGAAAATTCCTACGAATTTAGATTTTTAATGTAATTTAGAACCAGTTAAGAACCAGTCTTCTAAACCCTAGTAACTGAAGTTCTGTTTAAGAGAAATAGTCAATCTTCAAAAAAGTACGACTGACCACTTCCAGTCAGTAAAGCTGTGTCAATAAAACCCTTCAAAAAATATAAAAAACGCCTATTTTGGAAACCACAAATTTCTAAAAACAGACGTCTCGGCAGACTTCTATTCTACGTTTTTCCACACTTTAACGATATCAAACCATGCAACGTATAAGCCCTTCCAAAAAGAATTCCTGGCTTTATTTGGGCCAGGAAACTTTATCACAGAGTAAACTAAAGATAATCTAAGTTATAGAGTTAATAAGTCGGTGACCTGTCACCGAATCACGCATCCACATGAACATGTAAAAAAAAAAAAACGAATTTAATAAACAATGTGAAAGGACCTGATTAGACTGTGTGTATTTCAAAAAACGTATTTCCGCCGTGTGATTATTAGACTGCCGGAAATGCTCCGCACTCTGAAACTGAATACGATTGAAGCAAACTGTTTAGTAAAACTATAAAATATAAAAACTTCTGTAGGTAGGTAGATAAGTTCAAAAATGCGAATAATAAGAGTTTATAATGAATAAATGAAGCAAAGATAACTGCTGAAAAATGAAAGGTCAGTCCATTAGCAAAAAGATAGATGCCTTAATCGCAAATCAAATTCGTTATATGACGGATGAGGCGAATACGTTGAAATTCAAGTAATTCTTACTGAGCCCAGAAAGCGCGAAAGCACATATTCAATGGCTTGAAAGCATACAAAAAAGATACCTGCAGCATTACACAAATTGGGTTTCTTCCGCATATTGTATTTTGGGTCCGTTTCAAATATTCATTAAAGGCACTAGGATCAAGACTAGAAATAGCTTCCATTCCCTAAAGATAATTGAAACTTAATAAGTTGAAACAGCTATCTCTGTTCCTAACACACTCATGAAGAGAAACGTAGCAAAAATACCCATTCCATGAAATTGCTTTTTTCCTTAAAATAAAAAGTAACCTCCTTATCGAGGTCAGCAATTTGCTCATGAATTGGTTTACCCGTAAACTGATCATACGGAGAGAAGCGGAAACGACTTCCTGCAAGGTGTATAAGCCCAACTGCTGCATTCTATCTTATATTGGTTAATCTCTTGAAAAAGTTTCAAAATATATTAGAGTGACAAAAAAAAAAACTTCCAGCTTACCCCAATGACAAAAATCAGAACTTATTACGAATAATGTTTTGGGATCAGCGACATATTTCGACAAAATTTTGCCGTATGTAGCTTGACGCGACTGAGAGAGTGAACCCACTAATATTGGCACTATTTTATAACTTTTGCCGTTAGATTTTCTGCAAAAGAAGAAGCATGTTAAAAATCAATCAAGAACAAATCTCGATCAAAAAATTAATCTTTTGAATATAATCAAAAATGCAAGCAAAAACAAAAGTTACTTTTCCATAACTTTGTAAATAAATGGCAACTGCATTTCGAGACTATGCTCAGCTTCTTCACTTTGCTTATCCATTAATTCGAAATATCCAGTATCCCTAAGCTCAGCGTTAACTAAAAAACTTGAAATTCACCGTCTTATTCAAGAACTTTTCTTTCAGGAGGACACAAATCTTAAACAGATACCTTTCTGGTCTAATAACATGTCGCCAAAAGGTGTGCGGTAACGAGAACAAGTAGAAAGAGCGCAAGAACTGAGGCAAATAACATGAGATGGACCTAACACAAAGACTGTCTCTCTAAAAAAAAATAAAAAATAAAAATAAAAGTAAAAATAAAAATAAAAATAAAAATAAAAATAAAAACGATATAAGCGGCGAAAATAAAATAAAAAAAACTGTTCAAATTTCTCAATCTACGCAAAATAAAAAAGGTTTACAGAACTTCACACTACTTACACATCATCAGGCACAATTTGCTTGAAAGCAAAAGCTGCAGTACTGCCCGAGTACGAATAACCAGCATGCCTAGAAAGACAGTATTCCACAGTTATAACTTCGGCAAAAAAATGTTACAAAAGTTATAATTGCCACACAGCCTCAATAACCAGTCGAAATCATTCCAAAATATTTCCTTTTAATCCTCTCTACAATGCTCTTAGATACTCTTAAAACGTCAGTTATATCGACTAAATTTAAACTTCTATTAGTGGTAAAATTGTCAATGCACTGTTATTTCTACGTCTAAATTCAAATTAACTTCAAAAGACAAGCTCTAAATTCAAGTCATATAATCAAGATCTAACTAACGGAGAGATCACGGCACGTGCCGGGCCAGCAACTGGTTGTCCTGCTGCATTAAGCCACTCGCTCAGCTGTCGATGTAGTTCTTTAGGGTTGTTCGAGTACCTATAAATGCACTCTTTTTAAAAGAAAATTTTTTGATAGCGCTGTAAAAACCAAAAATGATTCTCCTCTTAGCACTGATAAGAAAAAAAAAATGAAAATGTACCATGAACCGGCATGAGTAGCGTTGCGTACTGCGTTATTCATTCTTCAACACCAGCTATAAATAACAAGTTTACAGAACAGTAAGATCCAGATGAGGCTGCCAATAACTCTTGAAGTCTTCGCGAATTACTATAAAGAAATCTGACGCTTACTCTGCCAATAAACAAAAAAAACAAAACAGAAATGAAAAAAGAAAGAAAAAAAACTGTGTAAACCAAAAGGAGAATGAAGAATAAATAGTAGAATATCTATATTCTATTCGGTACGCTTTTAAACTTTCTATTCTACCTCTGGTAATAACCAGTGTATTTGATTCATGACTTAAAACTTTGATATTTCAGTCTAATGATGAATTCTAGTGTTGTGACCCTTTTGATTAAAAAATGACTCATTTTGCCAACTGTCTCAAATTACCATCCTTTTCTCGATAATGCCAGTAAATACGTGGAAATCAATAATGAAGTTCCACCAACGAAAAAATTTTTTTTAAAATAGTCAAAGAATTAGAAAAGGTAAATAAAAAGTAGATATTATTGTATGTCTCTGAAAACCGGCTCGTTATCATACCAGAAAAAATAAACATTCAACACCCCCCTAGGTAAAAGGAACTCAATTTATCCAAAATAGTACTAAATATACTACTTCGACAAGAAGGTAAGGAGTTGGTGCATTCTTGTAACTAATTTAAGAATGACGCTCAAAAAACGGTCTCCCCGAAACTGCATTCTTAGTTATGATCAAAGTACATCACTCGTGATTATACAATCAGTTTGATAGTTCGCTTAATAATAAAAACTCATATAGAAACACTGTTGCTTGGCAGACTCCGGCTGTGATTTCTTTAGTTAGCAAAGAAAGACAGTAAATTTACAGTAATCCGGATATGACCTTTAGAAACTGTCCAATTTAAAAATTATTACCCTTGGCAGTCCTCTAAAACATGAAAGTGCTTAAAATGAGTAAGCTTTAGAGACAACCACCTCTAACACTATAATTAATTACAAAGAAAGTGTAGTTTTAAAAAACACTAAAAAAGTGTAAGTCCAGCATTATAAAGATGAAAAGTTGAGTTCCAGTAAACAGCTAGGAGATTGTAAATATGAAGTATTTTCCATCAATAACAAAACTTCTTCCATTATAAAAAAAATACTCAAAATTTCTACCGGACACTGATCAGCGGTTGAACATATAAACGTAGCAGTTCCACTAGCCAAAAATCAATAGAAGTACTGAAGGCTAACAAAAGAAAATACTGCAGAGCAAGTATTCAGCATGATCACAAATAACAGTGAGTGGTAAAAGTTTTTAATGCAGCAGTAATTTTCTAGCACCAAATGAAGAAAACAGCGAATAAGTCTGTTTTAATAACTAGACAATGATCGTACCTGTTTGCAGCGACGGAAGTAGTTTCTCGATCAACAAACTGAATTTCCACTCGTTGTATGCAATATACCCGTATTTTGGTAAAAAATAAGTTTTTTTGTTAAGTCAGCCTATCGCAAGGTTCAAAAATACAAAAGTAAACAATGGTTCCGTCAATTTAGTGGCAACCTAAAATAAAAATGAGCATCAGTTACTAAACAATAAATGAAACTGATTTAACGTATCTTCATTTTGCAAATTGA